TCCACCTTCCAGCTCCAGTGAAGACTGATGGTCTGACTGGGAATAGAGATGATAACAGATACAAAATGCACACTTTAGAAGGGAAATAGACCAGCCATCAGTGAGTCACTTCCTCACCACTATTTCTCAATTTCTTTTTGAACCAAGTATTGTTCATTGAGCAGTTATTTGTTGGTAGGAAGGCCCCACACTATTCTGGAAATACTTCAAACCCAGCTTTATTATTTATGCTCTCAATGCGTCAGGCAAAATTGCTTTTCCATTATTCTTGTCAAACATCGAAAGGCCAATGGCAGTGTCATGCTGTTTGTTCACTTTTGGTATGACAGTTCAAGATTTCGACACCATCCAGTTTACTAAGTTCAGTGTCGTCAGGTTCAGTCTCGTCAATAAACTCAACATCACCATCGTCTTCCCCTCCTGCCATGTCCACGTTCTCTCTGGCAGCCTCACTTTTAATCTCGTCACACTTGGATTTATCTGACTTGACTTCCTGACACAATTGTACTTCATCCACCTTTGGATTCTAACAAACTTGTAGCAGGTGCAGGCAACTGCATGGAACGTGTCAAACAACTTGTTCCCAGCTTTTCAAGAAAGTGCATGAAGAACTTACTTGACATCTTGGTTGCCTCTGCCTCCAACTTTCATCTCTTCCGTCCTTCAGCTCCACTTTCCTTCTTTGTGAAGAAACGTTTCATGGTTTTCTTACATAATTCTCTGAAATAAGGAACGACAATTTTAATAAAATTAAATTTCACAGATTTTGCACAAAATTCTAGACTACCTCCCTAGTTTGAGCAGGAGAATGGTCTTACTCCCAGTTGGCACTAAGTGGTACTGCGAGGTATGTGATTATGTAGCTCCCAGCATTGTATTTTTACCTAATAATTTATTTAAGTGGTTTAACAATCTAGCCTTCCTAGTGCTTCTCACTCATGATAATCAAAGAAAATTATTTTTTCACTCTCCGAGGATAACTTATCCGACTTTAATAAAAACTGCTCAGTGGCGCGCCCCTCTTCAAGTAGCGCCCAGGGCATGAGCCATAAATACCTTAGGTACTCCACTGATTCTGAGTGTGCGCAGCGGTAACAGTGTCTGATCAGTAAGTTTATTCAGGTATACACAAATACAGTTACATAGAATTATTATACATAGCAGCATATGTGTAGAGAACCTAGGATAACCCCAAAGAGTCAGACAGAGTGGCTTATTTCCATTGGGGTCCTTTATATTTCCATTGGGTCAGAGATTTCTCGGCTGGGAAAGTAGCTATGGAAGGCTTAATCGGCATTTTTTC